TGCTACTACTGCTACTACTACTACTACTACTACTACTACGGCGACGGCGACGGCGACGGCGACGGCGACGGCGACGGCGACGGCGACGGCGACGACGACGACGACTACGACTACGGCTCGGAACAACAACAACAACAACAACTACTACTACTACTACTACGACTACTACTACTACTACTACTACTACTACAACATCATTTTCGTAATAGTTGCTGTTGTTGCTGCTGTTGCTGCATTCTAATCCGCTTCTACAGCTGCTGCTCCAGGCTGCTTGCCTCAAGGTAGGGAGATGTTCTGCTGATAATACTAAGGGTACCGCAAGTGCGCCCCGGGCCTCCTGGCCTAGCCAGATGATCAGCAATTCATGCTTTCTACTTGTGACCTGCTTTCTGCAACTTACCATGCGCAAGAATCATGAGCAAAATCCCTTCACTACTGATTTCTAGCTCAGCGGCAGATTAGCAGCGGCAGGGCAGCAGTAGCAGCAGTAGCAGCAGTAGCAGCAGCTGCAGCAGAAGAAGACACCACTTGATGCGTTACCAAACCAAAGACATGGAAAAGTGTCGTGAACATAGCAGAAGCAAGTTCGTGCATGTGTTTTTGTGCTCTCAGCCAGGTGCCGATTAAGGTCCCCTTTCAGGCAGGGCGCCTTTTTCTGACGGCGGTCTAGGCAGGCCAATGGCATGCAAGGTTGTGAGACCAACTGCGAATCATTCTTCGATGCTGCCGGTCCCAGAGGGTTTGGCCAGGTCCGGAAGCGGTGGGCATGGTTTGTTTGCTTTGAGAAGGCTACCTAGTGGGAGTCCCCCGGGATGCTGCGCAGTGTAGCTTGATGGATTCTTCTTGGCCGTCTACATGTTCGACCTGGCTATTTCCACAAGAAAATCCGAGCCTGAAATGTTCTTGTAAAGTGCCAGCATCAGAAGTGTTGGCACCAGATTCCCAATGATCAATGTTTCGCTTGTGCACGCCTTCGGCTTTTCAAAAATGCCAGCATCTAAACTAAGTGTGCTGGACAATGCACTGCGGCCCCACGGGCTGCTGTTGACAGAAAGAAGATCCATTATTTGTCTTCATCTTGCAAACTGCTTTTGTTTGCATGCTAGCCTGCATTGTATCACTTCACGACGTTAAGTCGAGCGGGGCACACGAGAGCGTTTACTTAGCAAAAGACCTTTTGACCTTGATGAAGGCTAGCGCGACATCCGAGCAGCATTTCAATCATCTCGGTCTGCGGCTCAGTTGGCCAACCATCGCGCGGAGGGTTCGATGAACCCGGAATTCAGCCAAGGTCGTCGGTCCATTCCACTCAGGGACAGAACAGACATGCCTCACCTCTTTCACGGGAGTTTTGTCTCACAAGCGCTGCACATACAACAAGAGAAGCTGTCCGACCTGCTGCAGGAAAAGTTTTTTGTTGAACGCGCTGCTGGGTGACCCACAGGCTGGGATTCTGTGAGTTCGCATGTGGACGCTAGAGGTAGGTATCTGAACTGACCTTCTCGGCTATCTCAGTTCCTAAGCAGGAGGCCTCTCTAGACGGCAGAGTTCCAAGCGGTGGGACTTGCGATTGTTGTCTGCTTTTGCAAGCTTGCAGCCAGGGCTTGGTGTTGGAGTCAAGGGGTTTAGGTCGGTGCTGGCTCAGTGTTTTCCTGAATCTTGCGATTTACTCAGAAGGATCGTTGAACATTATCCTCAACTGCCATAGCATTCTGGTTGGCCTTCTCTGGATCGAGACGTGTAGGTCTTCTCAATCGGTCGAAAGACATCTCCAGAGACAATGGGGATTTGGCTCTGTGCCGAGCCAAGGGCAATTGCTGGTATTGCGCGGAAGTGATGTGCTTTCAAGCCTCCTTGAGGTCGCACTGACTGGCATGCAAATGACGGGTCAGAGGCTGCGTGAGCTCGACAAATGCGAGCGCGATGATATCTGCTGCCCGCCATCCATTGCTGGCAGGTATGGCTTATGGATTCAGAAGGTTTCTTTGGTCCAGGCAAGATCTGCACTGTCTTATACGGTTACTAGAAGATGTGGTTCAAAGTAGCTGCAGGCTGTAAGAGGACTGAGAGGCACAAAAGCTCCTTGTGAGCAGGAGCTTGTTAGACCTGCAAACTTAGTTGCCTCGGAGGCTTGGGCGCCGGGGGGTTCGGGGAAGATGATGCTGCTAATCCTGGCCTCCGTCCTGCTTCGTTTTGTAATTCTCCTGCGGCTGTCTTCCATGTGATTACAGTCTGCCACAACGGTGCAAGGTCTGACAACATGTCTCAAGCAGCAGCCATACTTTACCGCCACTGTGGATGCTGCTGGTCTTCGTTTCGTTTGCGACTGGAAAGTTGAACATTTGTCGCCGCAGGTGTTGCCGAGAGCTATGACGCCAAGATTTTCACCATCGCAACACTTCTGGGTGGGCATCTCGTGTACCCCGCCGTCCCACACCATCTGTTGAATTTGCCGTGCACAGAGTGGACTGGAAGTATGAAAACTGTTCCTGCATACTCCAAATTCATTTATTTTAGATCCAGCTGCGATTAGCCGCAAATCTGATGGTCAGCTCAATTCATTGACGAGGCATTAGGCTTGCGCTGGGTGGCGACAAAAGGCATGCGCAAACGCCGAAAAGCTGATTGTTGGAACCTGCTAAAGCCGAACTGGTCAAAATACCCGATACGCCTCGACTACGAGGCACTGTAAATGGAAGTCAAGATCTCGCCATACTGCCGAAAAGTTAGATCCGCAGGCAACAAGCTGGAAAGCCAGCCAAGACAAAAAGGAAGCGTTTCACAAGATTTCGTAGCGCCCAGGGCATATAAGTTGCTTGCAGAAAAACATCTGATTCTTCGCGTGCAGTGCACTTGCTCTCCAGAGATCCCTGCATGTCCTGAAGAGTAGCATGAAATTCCCGTCCCAGCCAGAAATTCAAAACGTCTTGAATGCACTGGACAGCCCGGATGGTTCTACACGGTTTCCCTGCACACCACTCCGGCAAAGAGACACAGATCAGACAAGCGTCCTCTACTTGCAAAACTGCAAAACTGCTCGTGTAGGTACAACACTGTCAAGGTCATCGACCAGCAGGCATATTGCTGATTGTTTGTTTATGCTTTTCGAACCCTGCATGGCAGCGCAGCGTGAGACGAGTCGTGAGCATATGAGCTCTTCGAGTGAAGCCCTGTTCTGTTCGAGAAGAAACCTTGCTGCCAGGTTGCACCGCCAACATTACAATGAAAGTGGCTGGTGCATATCATGGGTCGCTGGACCGTTAAGCTCTTGAATTTGCTGAGCGAACAGCCCTTCCCCTCAACTAAAACCGCTACACACCCTCTAATGGAATCTGGTGTTTCTCTGGGGAGGCTGTCAACCTTCTGGAAATGCTGGCCCGGCGAGCACAACTCTTCAGAACTCGGACGTCCACGGAGCAGTCAAATCTGGAGACGCCTGAGTGAAGCTTGCGAGTTTGAGCCTCCTGTTCTGGGCTGCGGAGAGGTGCGGTGTGAGACTGAGCAGATTTTGCTTAGGGAGGGGCGCTTGACTTTTTTTCCTTTCTTTCTTTCTCTCTCCCTCTCTCCGTCTCTTTTCTCCGGTCTTACTGAGCACTTTATGTCCCGCAGCCTGAAAAACTGGACGTAAACTCACGTCCTTCTCGTCCTGTGTCTGGCCTCGGGATGCGTGTGAGAGCGCGTCAGCTCCAATGCCTCTCATGGGCTTACTGGGCTGTGCATTTTCTTCGTCTTGGCCCCATGCGGCACAGACCTCCCTCAAGTACTCTTCCGGGAAAAGCTTGCATGGTAGGTCGGGTGGCCACATGCCTTCGCTGTCGTCCCGCCCCATATCCAGCATGGCCATCGGTCAACGATCAGGACGTCACCCGTCTCCCCAAGCTTCAAGGTGAGCCAGACCCAGTGCGCACATACAACACTGCCAACGCAGGTCACCGAGGTGTGAACAACTTTGTTGCCTGTTAGGCGATGTGGCAGTCATGGCTCACCACCGTTGGAAACCGTCAGCTTCAGCCAGGTTTTTGAGCGTGAGGAGTTTTCCTCCACTGACATGGGTTGTAGAGGCACGGATGTGTTTGCAATTGATGTCGAGCACTGATTCTTCTACCTTCATCTTGTGTCAGGACTTTGTGCAAGAGCTTCCCGAAGAGCATGTGCATTCATCTGATCCAGCCACTGCATGGCTGAGGCCACAAAAAAGCGTGTGCTTGAGCTTCCACATTATGAGGTTCTGACCTTTGTGGCAGGTCCTATTTGTCCTATGTCAATGATACTTCAGGCATCTGCAGCCTGCCTTGCAGCCTTTGACTCTCCACAATTGGCTGCTGCTGTTTTAGGCGAGGAGGTGCACATTCTCTCCAAGTTGTACAGTGACGTGAAGGCATGCTGAGCTTGCAGCAGTGCTACGGATTAACTGCTCTGGCAGGCATGTGATATTGGGAGTTTGCCACAGCACACACGGCTGCTGGCAGGTGAAGACCTTGTTCTTGCCTGCAACCTCAAAGCCAGATCTGCAGGCCCAACGGTTAGCAGGGCTGCAGGGCTGTACATGTGTGTGCATGTATGTATATGTATAGATATACATATATGCTGNNGGACCTACCATTTTGGGATGTTTTGGGTGTTGGTTATAGAGGAAAGCATGAATAGGCCACTGTAATTTAATGAGCAGTCAGTTTAGAGAAGGGGGAGTGCAGGACATACCTACGAAGCGAACACTTCAGACAATAACCTTGCAATGCATACTTTCTAGCGTGGTTGCAGTTCACTACGTGAAAGCATGATTCCTTGTTTTGCGACAGAGTCTCACAAGATGATGTATCAACAGATTTGTAAATAGACGTGACTTTGGCCTTCTCCATAAAGATTGTATCGAATGCTACCATTTAAAAACGCCGAGAAACGGTGACTGACAAATGAGCATTCCTGGCATCTTCCATCGTCAAACATATGCAAGATCAAGGCCGGGGTAGCGATTCACCGGCCTCTCAGACTCTTAGTTAATCTGTTGCCTGTAATCTTAAACTGGATGAAGCCAAGACATCTAATTACATCTCAGAATCATATGATTTCGCTTCATCTGCTAAATGGTCTTCATTTAAGTAATCATATTAAAGGGTCCCGGACAATCCCATCAACTCGAAGCATGCTTAGTAAATGTTTTGTATATACAAAAGCAGGAGCTCAAGATCTGAGACTTCTTCATTAAATCCTATGTGCGCTTAGTAAGGGACATACGTAGAGAAAACCAGGAGCCCAGGGCTCCAGAATTTATCTTGAAATTCGACGCTCATTTAGTGGGCTTTGTCTAGAGTAACCAAGAAGCCGCAACCAGTTTGGTATCACTTTACATAAAGAACAGAAGGAGCTAGAGATTTGTCCTTTCGATTCGAAGCCCGCTTAATATAGGATTTATATACAGAAAGTCAGGAGCCCAGAGAGAATCCCCTGCTAAGTTCCAAACATACTTAGTGAAAGATCTATAGATGTAAAGGCCGGAGCCCGGCATTTGGGTTCTCGAATAGCCGAGGATCTACAATATCGTCCAGTATCAGAGACTTGCCCTTGCAGTTCGAAACCAAAACATAGGGCTTATGTAACGACAATCAGCAGCCCAGAAGCTGAAAATTCGCATTGAAAAAAGAAGGAGCCGGTATCAGAGTGTTGTCCTTTCAATTTGGAATCCATTTAGTACATGGTTCATATGAGCTACTGACAATATTAGCCTTACCAACGTTAAGGGTGGACATAGGGGTCCCTCTTGGAGTTTAATAGAGTCCCTAATAGTGTCCCTAGTAAGGAACCCATGTCCACTAAGTTATGTAAGAAATGTTGGCTGTACCCCATATACAGAAAAACAGGAGCGCAGAATGTGAAACTTCCTTTTCAAATTCGAAGCATGTGCAGTAAATGCCTTTTGTAGATGTAAAAGTATTTAGTAAATGTTTTGTATATACAAGAGCAGGAGCTCAAGATTTGAGACTTCTTCATTAAATCCTACGTGCGCTTAGTAAGGGACATACGTAGAGAAAGCAAGGAGCCCAGGGCTCCAGAATTTATCTTGAAATTCGACGCTCATTTAGTGGGCTTTGGCTAGAGAAAGTGAGAAGGCCAGGATCAAAGCACAGCACTTCAGATTCGCAGCTAGTAGTTTGGTATCCTTTTACATAGAGAAAAGAAGGAACTTTATATATACAGAAGCAGGAGGCCAAGATTTGAGAAATCCTCATTAAATCCTACATGCACTTTGTAGGGATATACATAGAGACAGCAAGGAGCCCAGGGCTCCAGAATTTTTCTTGAAATTTGATGCTCATTTAGTAAGGGCTTTGTCTAGCGAAAGTAAGAAGACCAGGATAAGAGAATTGTCCCTGAGGTCCTGGCTTCTTGGAATATCCAAAACTGCCAAAAAAAATAAACATTCTAAAAACTGAGCCAACCATGGCCGTGGCTTTTTGGAATATTCCAAATTCCAAGAATTCCCAAATTCAGAAAATTTCAAAACTTCCACAAACTCCACAAATTCCAAAGTTGATTGAGGTCGCGGCATTTTTCAAAGATTCCAAAACTGAACCAACCATGGTCCTGGATTTTTCGAATATTCCAAATTCCAAAACTTCCAAAAGTTCTAGCACTAAGTCATCCTAGCCGTGGTTAGTTGCCTTTGGGCATCTTTGTAATTTTTGGATTTTGTTGAATTTTTGGAATATTTTTAGTTTTTGGAATTTTTGGAGCTTGGAGTATTCCAAAAAGCAGGACCATGGTTGCTTCAATTTTGGAATTTTTGGAAGTTTGCAGAATTTTTGGAATCTTTGTAGTTTTTGTAATTTTTGTAGTTTTTAGATTTTTTTGATTTTTTTTTAATTTTTGAATTTTTGGAGCTGGGAGTATTCCAACAACTAGGACCATGGTTGGTTCAGTTTTGGAATTTTTTGGATTTTTTGAGTTGTTTTTTGCATTTTTGGAAGTTTTTGAATTTTAGGCATTTTTGGAATTTTTAGATTGTTTTGGAAGTGTTGGAATTTTCGAATTTTTGGAATTCTTGGCATGTTCCAAAAAGCCAGGACCATGGTTGGTTCATTTTTGGAATTTTCAAATTCTTGGAATTTGGACTATTCCAAAAAGCCAGGACCATGGTTGGTTCAGTTTTGGAATCTCTGGAATTTTTGGAATGTTTATGTTTGCTACTCTATATACACTCATGTACAGTAGGTTATGTTGACGAAGCTTGTGAATTTCTGTTGTTCTTAGGCTGCAAAGTTGGTAGGAGGTGCTTGAAACCACCAAAAAGGTAGGTCCATGAGGGGGGGGTACCACACACATATATATATATGTATATATATATATATACATGGCACCCATTACTTTACATGGACTCGGCCCACGTTTACCAATGTCTCCCTGATTTGGAGAACTATGGATGGTTGCATGGTTTAGGGTGTAGTTGTTTCATCCCGTTCCACATGAATAGATTCCTTTCACGGCATTCTCGCCAGAGAGCCCCGCATCCCCTTAGCTTGAAAAGGGCCAAGAGTACTTTAGAGGGGCCAGCTAGTGCGCCCTTAATAACGAAGTAGGGGAGGTTTCTGAAATACAATCATGAACGTATAACAAGGCAGTAGGTATCCCCTTCGTTTGCTAGATTCATATTCTTCAAGAAGGTAGGTTTAATGAGGAAAACTCGCAGGAGTTTAGGGCGCTTCCTGATTTTTTTACACTGTTTGTGATAATATGATATATGATATGTGATATATGATAGACAAGCAGAAGATTCTAATGCAATTCTACTTAGAATTACCTAACTTGATTTCCAAATTTTTTAATCAGTTTTGTCAGACGGATTTAATGTGAGACAATCTAAGCCGCAGAACTCGGATTCCTTGTTTTCCCAAAGGTTTTTGCTTTTGACAGTTTATCGGTTTCTGAGACCTACCGCCGGGCCACGTGTCATGGAAATTGAAATTACAATGAAACCAAATAGGCCCTATGTTTCTTACAAAAACTCCCCTTAATAATGAAAACATCATCCGTCAACTTTTTAGATGATTGGGAAAGGGGCGTGACGTCGTTTACTACGACGTAGGTGAAAGCCATTATCATATATTGGTTAAGCGCCATCTGCTGTTTTTATGGACGTTAAGACTTCACATTTTATCAGGCCACGTACACAGCTTCTAACCTTTTGGCTTCGAGATGCGTAAATATGATGTAAACCCAAATGTTTGCAGTGGCCCTCAGGAGTGTATGTCTTCACGCAGTCTAGGAAAACAAAAAAAACAAAAGAAAACAAATACACAATTCTGTCCAAATAAAATACTGGAAATTCCGAAGGAAGTGGGCCCGACTTTTTTTCTTGGCCTTGGGCTTCGGTATCAGAATCAAAAGGAAACTATAGAACAGAGCAATGTCTAATGTGTTCTTGAACAGACATTGCTTTCCAAGCCAAATCGGTGGATCTCCGGAGTCCCGCACATGCTCTAGAACGCTTCTTTTACAGCACATCGTGTTAAGTGAACCTTAAGTTAAGCCATAACGACCTTGTTTCGCATAGTTTCCCATGGTTCGAACAAAACATTACAGTAGTTGGTAGTGGCACCCCTGCTGGTAACTACTTATTATTTATCCCTTCCCCATAATTAGTAGTCAAACTACCCCGAATGCTAGATGATTCATCTGGAAGCCAGAAATCCCGGAAAACAACTTTGAACTGAGGGTGGACTACGCACCTTCACAAGAAGCCAACTAACTAGCCATTCCTGTAATGAGTTCGGTTGTGCTCTGAGACATTACTCGTGGAGAAAAAGGGCATAACGGGACTAGGGATCTCCTTGAATTCCTAGGTTTGTTTTGTTTTAGCATGGCTTGTCGGAAAATCGAACCGACATCTAATTGGAATCACTCCGAGGATTCCGTTTATTCATACGGGTTATGTTGGTTTTACGGCATGCGCGTGTCTTTTTAATAGGGACTTAGGTAGAAGAATCTAAGGCAAGGAATTGGGTTTCACTAACTAGAACTAATCAAGTTCCTGGGTTTGGACTATGCGCCGTTTGATAAGAGTACTTGTCTCATTGAATCTGACTTGAAGATTCGAAGGACATCTGATGCATCAAGGAATCACTGTTTTTACCTTGAGTTTTATCGAAAACGCCTTCTTTCAACAAATTGAATTTGCATGGAACGTCGTAACAATTAAGTGGATTTGGTAAGAACTTAGAAGTATCTATTTTGCTATACTTAACCAGCTAGCTAATTCATTCGGATACATATACCCTCACTAACCAACAATGCAGTGGATCATAAACATATCAAATGCTACTGCGCCGTACTGAAGCTTCTCAATATACATATAGATAGATATGTATATATATATATATATTTATGCCAGGGAGAGAACATGTTTTGCGATTGGAGGCTCGTGCGTGAGGGCTTTCTTCCAAAGATCTTTATTGAGGTTCGCAAGCGAAAACTACCCGCATTGTAGCGAATCATAGTATAGAACAGGGAAAGCGCAACAACTCAACATTCAAGCTTCCAAAAGGAAAGGAAGTCTCTCCTCCATAATAGCCTTGCCAGGGAAACCCAATCAACTCAAGAGAAGTGAAAGCTCCAGTTTCCTGCAAGTGCTTCTTCTGATATTCATATCCTCCTATAGAGATGGCTTCGTGTCTCTAATTCAAACACACTTTTTGCACTTGGAGAATATTCTTCACGTTACCATAATTTCTTGTGGGAACGAATACTCATACTGCGACATGTATACGAGGCTGGGAAGTCTTCAGATCCAAGCACGGCGTGGAAAACAAAGTAACACATAAAGATGATCCGGAAGCGAAGGTTCTTATGGCTGCAGAACTGGCAAAGCTTGGCATCTAATCCCTTACAGACTTGCTCTCCACAAGCGAGAACATGCGAGAGCTCTAGGGCTCTTCCAGGAAGGGCTGCTGGATAAACGTGCAAAAAACGCGGGGGCATGGGGGGGCACCCCTACAGCGCGGAACCCACACATCATATATCATGTCCTAAAGAATTTTTGTGCTTCAACTCTAGGACCTGTCGAAACTCCAGTGGGCGCAGCTCACGCCTGAGTTCAAGAAGGTGTGGACTAGCTTCTGTTTGCAAAGCAGCAAGCGTACAGCAGAGCAATGTTCCAGTCTCACCTGTAAGCAGGAGCTCGCTGAGCTCAAGACCCACGTCCTTTCCAGCTTGCATGCTCGTTCATTTGAAGGTCTGCAACAGAAGCGTTGGGTGGCTTAGGGTTACAATGTTGCTGCTGCCGAAGGTGAACCAATGACCGGTCGTACTCTTGAACGTTCGCTGCGCTTCATTGTGCAGGCTTGGGACAGGTAAGTCATGCCGATGCCCACCAGTACAATGAGCCAGAGCCAGTAAGCTCAATCAAGCTGGAACCCTGTTCGAGGGTCTACAGCGCGGCATGTTTCACGAGCTGCCATCTTTGTGGACGACGTGGACACAGCAGGTGGCTGAGATGTCCCTCCAGGAGCGTGCCTGTCAGCCTTCTGGCCTGTGCTATGCTTCACAGAGCAATAATTTTGCAGACATTACCACAATCGCCGTCTTGTTTCCTGAATTTGAACGAGTCGTTCTCGTTAATCGCCAGAACTCGGATGTGGCCCTTCGAAGGACTCTGATACCTGGTTTTTGTCGCTCCTCTCCAGCATTGACCACAATGAGGAGCAGACTCAAGTCACCCCTAATCAATCGCATTCTAATCTGCACATTGTCATTGCGGTGCCCCGATGAAGGACCCTATCCCTTTGCGAGATTTCAATGACAAGGCTCGCATTTTTTGAGGATTTCAAGTTGGCATTTGAAGCTTGCTCAGAATCAGCTCCATGGAAACTGCTCTGCTTCCTGATCCTCCTCCTGCAAGACCAGGTAGAGGAGGCGAGAACAAGGTCAGTGCAGCCAAAGTCTGAGGCAGAACAGCCTCAAACTTCCTGGCACTTATTTGTACAGAAGAGTGCTGCTGGAAGCTAAGATTCTACATGGAACTTCTGCGAGACTTCGACGTGAGCCAGCGGACTCAGAACACAGTCGTGGAACACATGAAAGTTGGAAAGCAGTGACACTTCTGTGCAAAGCTTGCTGGCTCCAACTTGGGACGACCGAGCCGTCGTATTCCAGCATGTCGTAGTAGATAGCAATTTCGTGCTAGTATACGCTAGTGTTATTGGACATGGATGAAAACCTGCTGAATGAAGCCAGGGAGTGCTGCGTGGCAGCAAAACTCGTAAGTTTGCACCCCTGCGGGCGACCAAACCGCCAGAACATCCGCGCGCGCCATCACCTGCCCCCACATACATACTCCTGATACACCGCCCCACTCCGATCCTAAGCCACATTCATTGACATAGTGAATCATAGTGACATCCTGAAAGAACCACTCGTTAGCCCGGGCCTGCGAAGTTTTCTCCACTGCTGCTGGCGAAACGCCTTGCCTTGTTGACGAGGTGCGCGTTTCCTACCAGTAGCAGGGCCCCTTCTTGGCCAGAAGATGCGCACTCTGCCTCATGTTATTTCTGTGGTATGTGTCACCCTACGTTCAGCAGCGGTGCAATCCTCGAGATCCGCGCCAGCACGGATGCCGGGCAACGAAAAGTGCTTTGGCTACTGAACCTCCAGCCAACGCATGCAAAAGTGAAAACTAGGTGAAGCCAGAGAAAACCTTTGCCAAGCTAGAATACAGGCTAATTGGTTCATGCCAAGCAGTTGCCGGCACAGACCACTGTGCACCCAACAGACAGATAGAAACGTCCTGCTCGTTGACACCAGTGCAAGTCAGTCAAGTGGAAAGCTCCGTTTATATCAGTCGAGTGTGTTAGATTGCTGAGAGCAACCTCGAGCAAAGTTGGCGCGCGGAGGAAATGCCAAACAGATCACACAGGGCAGTCGACCTGTTGGTGGAATGAGTGGCTCCGTGAGATCGATCTGTCTGTTGTTATCGGCAATCTGACTTTTTGTATTCTCGTCCCGACCAGTAGAACCCAACAACTGCAAACAACCTTTGGGGCAGAACACGCCTTCATAGCCAGTTGATTCTACTTGCCTACGAATTATGGATTATCAGCCGTGGTACAGTATTGGTGTTTGTTGCAAGCCTATTCATGGGGCAGTCACTTGCAAGCACAGCCAACGATGCCCTTGCGAGTTAGCTATTCCTTTACAACAGAGTTGTACATCTCACTCATTTTTTTGGAGAGTGTCACCTCGATATCGCCTCAGTTTGGGATGACATGCATTCCTAATCATCAGACGCGGGACAGACAGCCCAGGAAAGGCTTCCCAAATTCAGTTAACTTAATTTCCATTTATTGTGATGCAAAGCCTTCGCAGGAATTCCTAAATCAAGAACCCTGGACAGTTACAGGAACCGAGATATTCGGGCCAGGAATTCAGATTCCGTCCGAGATTTGCCTGCAATCACGAAAGCAGATCAAGGTAAGAGACAGAAGAGCAAAAAAGAGAATGATTGTCAAAAGGACTGGATGTGGCCTACTGACAGACGTGCCCTCTGACACCGCCTCAGAAGATGAGAATTGGTGCCTGACGAGGCAACCAAGCTACTACGCTTCACAAGGTTCGTTACTTCTCTATGGACCCTTCTCTAAAGCAGAGTTACATTTACACATAGACACACAACACGTACGTACAAATCACAGAGCAAAAGAACCAAGGCCTTGCGATTGTCTCAGCGCTGCCAGTCCTAGGTCGCAGCAAAAACCCAAAGCCACAATTCAGAATGATGACAACGCGAGGCAACTCACCACTCCCCCAAACACACGTCCTGTCAAATCACTGACACAGACTCCGCATCTTCTGGGCTGACACTGCCTCTGCCACCACCACCAGGAAAGCAGCAATTGTTGTTCGTTCCGAGATGGAGCGCAGGGGCCGGTAGAGGAAACGTAGCTAAATTTGAAGTTGCTGTTAAGAATTCATTGGTGCATTTGTGAGCTGTGTCAGCCTTGCGCAACTCAATCTGCAGGAATCCCTAAATAGACATCTAGTTGTCTTTACCAGCCTAAACATAAAAGGTTTCCCGTTTCACATGTGACCGCAGGTTTTAAACTCGAGAACTGGGGGCGCTGAAGCGATACGGATTTGAGGCGCAGCCTCACCGTCAGGACTCAGCGGAGCAGAATCCGAGGAAAAGAACAAATGGTTTCATTTCCGCTGCCGAAGAGCGACTTCCACCTTACGGTCTCCTACAGCAAACTCTGCCAGAACTTCAATTGGCCCTTCATGGCCTCTACATTATTTTCATTGCAACCACTGCAATCTTGAAGTTGGTCAAGTAAGTCCAGACAGTACACGTGATGCAATGGCTCGCTTTGGCTTAGGCCCAGACATACCAGAACTTCGCAAGCGTCTGGTGCTCAGTCAGTTCTGGGGACGGGTAAGCGGCTCAGCAGTGCTCGCGCCTGCCAGTGCAGTCCCTGCATTTTCACAGACGGTAGTTTCTGTATGTTTCAGTGTAAGACACCATTACAGACCGTTACCTCAGCTATGGATGTTCTGGGATGCCATGACATGGTCTCGCTGGTTGGGTTTTCGGGCTTGTTGCTGTCCTAGCCCCGCGCTCCTCATCGCAGCGACCAGATCAAAAGTATTCCCCAAGCGTGAATTCGGTTAGGGTTGGGGTTGTGTAGGTGAAGTTCGCAAGCCAGTGGGATACGCAGAGATCACAACTTTGACTTTGTCGCCACATGTTTTCCGAACTCGCATGCCCGCAACAAATGTTTCGCTGGCCGCCAAATTATTCAGACGTTTTCTAGATTTTCGTAGATGTTTCTCAATAGATCACCAAGTTTGTGGAAGTGTGTTCGGAGTTTGCGCCTTTGTTTCCTGCAGCGATAAGCCATGGTTCTCATCTTTGACGGGCTAGTGTGTTTTCTGCTGATCCCTCTCGGCTAACATTCGCCGGCGCATAGCCGGGAGTTCACGCGGGAAATTCGTAACCGAATGTGGTCAGGGCGGGTTCCTACCCACCCAAGCTAACATCTTCTGGCTGAATGTTGCTTTTTATTTCTTTGTTGTCACTTGGGTTGAACCTGGCACCATCCTCAAAGTCCAGGATGTTCCATTTGGAGTATTTTGGTCACCATCGTGCGGGCTGCACATGTCAATTAGGCAACATACTGGGTTTTTAGCAATTACCGAAATCAGCCTCCAACGTTTACAGCCCAGAAGTGACTTGTGCCGGATGATAACCCTTTGTAATATGCTTAACTGTCCCAATCCATGCCTGATCGGGTAGGTTTCTGATGTGTGCATGGCCGGCGAATCGGTTTTGAGAAACAAGGAATGGCAGTGCACTTTCAGCACAAGCTCCCCAGCTGAACTGCGCGACATTATGCGCGACCCAGTGGCTTGTCTACATTATATTTTAGCTCCCAAGGCTTGTACTTTACCACGAGCGGGTGCAGCGATGGACAAACGAAGCAATTGACCGCCTGGCCAGCTTGACGGACATCAGTTCATATTAAGGGAGGTGTGTGCACAGCCTGTATGCCAGGCCAAGCATAAAGAAAGCTTTGGGAGGCTGCTGTCCGAGCGCGAACTGCCATTTGACCCGGACTGCGGTTGCTCACGAGCAATTGACTTGCATGCAACATATTCATCGCCGTGTCACTTGAATTCCAGGAGAGGTACATGGTATCCGAGTACTTTCATGATACTTGTTAGTACAAAGTGCACAGTGGCTTTTCCGTCATTGTAGTTGCATGAAAAACCTTTGGCTTGAGCTCCTGGAACTACATAAGTGCGTTTGTCTGCTGGGTTGCTTGTTTTTGGGGTAGGCTCAACTGAAGGCCAGCACCATTGAAAGCACGTCTTGCTGCAAGCCATTAACGGAGTGTGAGGACCTGTTCAGAAAAAGTGGCATGCTCCTTAGCAAGCATCTGTCTCTGCTTGAAGACCTGGCAACTGGCATGTGAAGCTTGTGAGAATCTCGTAATGCCATGTAATGCCACAAGCAGGACCGTAGATAGCTTCTGGTGCGCAGATGCTGCAGCAGATATTCAAACAGTACTATGGGTAACAGCTTTGCTGCTGCAGTACCCACACATACCTACGCAATCTCAGGAGAAGAGGGGATACGAAAGACGGTGAGTGACTTCAGCACGAAAATCCAGGCCGTGTGTTGGCTCAGCCGGCTAAGCCATGCGTTCCGGGGGTTTGCAACAGCTGTGAAAACGCGGTCATGCGGCTTTGCCAGGGGAACAGGTGGAGAACGTGAGAACATCCAGTGCCTAATTGAAAGCAGGTCTTCGCAGCTCGAGGGCAAAGCCCGGTCCACGGCAAGCGAAAGCCTCGGCTGTTCAGCGTTTCAGCCCTGTAGTCTGTCCCGTCAACGTTGACATTACCAGGGCAGCTTCGATGCCAGCTTTTGCCCAGGACCACAAGACTGGCAACCTCTGCTGTGTGGTGTACCCGAACTTCCGAGCCCCTCAGGATCCCGCGAGCCAACTCAGCGTCGACCTGCACACCATGCTGGGCCACTGCCTGACTTGTGTGCCGAGCAGTATGAAAATGGTGTTCTCCACGGCCCCCCCATCAAAACCACTAGGTGCACGCGAGCTGGAGAATGAGCGGGAAATTATGCAGTACTTCAAAGCGGCAGTAGCGGCTGCAGATGAGGCTTAGAAAACTGCGAATTCATGCTATCATGACCTCATGGCGATCACCGTCTGCATTGATCTGCAGAAGCAGGGTTGCCTTCAGGCAGTTGACCGCGAGTTGAAGATGGTGGGCAACAAGCTGCTGGGAAAGTCGCAGCTGAAGGTGGTCTGTTTGCGCATGCCCGTTGACAACTCCTCGCGTAAGCCAAGACCCGTAAAACCAGGTTCAGTACAGAAACTCACAATGTGCAGTCAAGCATAACAAATGGCCAACAATGGCCATCAATGGCCAGCTCGTTGCAACTGCACAAGAGCCTCGGCTGCCGATGCCAGGCCCAGTTGAACGGGGCGAACGCAGTGTCAGCAGCACAACGCCTACTAACACCTGCCAGGTAGTGGGGTCAAGTTGCCTCGCCTTGTGAAAAGTTGCATCGTGGAGCAAGGCAGAGGGGATTTAGAAGTCAGAGTTATGAGTAAGCGCACCATTGGGGCAGCGTCATGGCGTGCGGCGAGTGACAAAGCTGGCTTGGCCAACAGAATTCATGAGTACAACATTTGGGACGCATCAGGTTGCGAGACGGAATGTCCAACTCCTGTCTCACTTGCATAGGCCCGGAAAGTGCTTGTGCTGGAATCGCGCCCCGTGAGGCTGCATCTTGAAAGTTGTCAATTATTTAACTTGTCATCAATTGCTCTGCAAAGTCCACAGGCACCAGGAGCCAGGAGCCTTGGCGAGTAATGGGAGGGGTTGACCTTAAATGATTTGCGCTTAAGGGGATCTTGTACTGAAGGCGTAGCGGCTTAGCCGTACTAAGAAACTGATGGAACCCGTTTGCACATGTCGTGTCACAGCGCGGCGGCACGCTTGCATTTTGTTTGTTATTCGCCAGTTTTCGGAAGACGCTGTGCGGTGCTTGACAAGAGGTTGAGTGGCTGCAGCATGCATTGTTGCGGATGCGTTGTCTTTCTGCGAATCGCGCGTGCACTGTGGGTAAGCGTGACCTGTTAATCCGGGCTCTTGTATTCTCGTTTGCAGTGCAGGCAGGTAAGTCAGTCACCCTAAACCTCAAGCCTTTTACGGTGAGCTCCTGAATCTAATCGAACAAAAATGAGAATATCTTCAACACAATTTTAAGTCATGCGTAAATTTGAAAGAAGATAAACAATGCTTTATTGTTTTCTAGGGTCTGGAAGTGTTTTTGGAATCTAGGGCGTGTTGGCCCATGGCCCAACATCTGACTCTGCATTTAAAGTGATCTTGGATTCCTAATTGGACCCAAAACATTTTTTTTAATCTAGGTTTTTTCACGAAATTACAAGCCGATGAAGCTTGTCTATTATGTATGATTGCTTGGCTGATTTTTCTGTTGCGGCTTGCGAATGAGTTGTGCCGATTCCAGCATGCAGGCATATGCAGCTTCTCATGTTGGCCATCGGTTCCCACGCCATGAAATGGTACATTTCTGGCCTCTGCATAGCGGACTTTGCGCATTTACAGGGCCTGCAAGACATAGAGCGAGCGTAGGTCCCGAAAAGCTGTTTGGCTCATGGGTCTGTGAGAGTAGAAGAGGCTAATGCTGGTTTGCGTTGGCCCTGCTCGCTGTGGAAGGGGCCTCGTGCCGCTGTTGTCGTCCAGCGGTATTGTATCTGCTCTGCGCTATTTATTCCAACAGCATTTCGTATCTTGGAGTTCCCTGTGTTGGCTTTTTGCTCTCCCCCATATCGTGGCCTGCGTCATACTCCAGCTTGCAATGCTAGTTCAGAATCCTGCAGATGTCGGTGAGTGCAGCTGGAGGAAACTTCCTTTGCACGGGTTATGCAGTTGCCCACGCCTCAAGCCGCATGGCTTAAACTTTCAGATCATCTAAGTGACCCACCTCCTTCCTGCACGGTTGACACTTTGTGCGCTAGTAGTTTTTCTGAGCTAGTGGAGCTCAAAAGACCCTCCAGTCTTGTCAAGCTACTTTTCATGAATGTGTTCACAAGGGAAATGTTCTGCATATCCAACAGCCAGCTTTGGCAACATAATTCCTTGATTTTGGCGGCGTGCGTTTTGACCTCGAAGTTGGAGTGACATCATGCTGGTTGCTAGCCGTGCTTTCTGGCCATGTGGGCTGAGGCACGAAAGCGTCAAACTGGCTTTATGATGCAAACAGTCAGTCGCTCTGCCATCGTCGTGGCCAGTAGCGACACTAGGGCTGCCTCTTTGGGGACATCCATGGGGAGATAAGGGCCCGGCGAGCATTTCCGTGATGAGCTGGAGTTTCTCTGGAAGTGTCATGCAGGGTCTTGCCTGGCAGCGTCACATTTCTGCAGAAGTGGCAGCAAAGACTGCGGTGTGAGGGGTGGAGTCAGGAGCGGAGATGCCGAGCAAAACCCCGCAAGGCCCCGAACACAGCCTTGAAGTACTTAGCACATTGACATTTCAACCCTCCCGCCCAATCATTCGATGCAAAGCGGCATCCTGCGTGCTGAGGTGGGTTGGGGGTTGTGATGAGGGCTGGAGGTGGCAGGCCACGAAGAAACATGGCCCGAAGCAAAAGGCTGTCAACCTCGATGTTCAGACTTCCAGGAGGGACTGCCAAAATGAAGGAAAAGGGTGGGAAGCGGAGCTTGTTGCGCTGCTTTTGGTGAGCTACGGGTTGCGAGCAAGGTAAAACGGGATTCTTCGCGTGAACCTGTGCGAGTCTTTCAGCCATTTTCATCCAGGTCACCGTATCAGCACAGAACCCTGCAGAACGATGGCGATAGAGACCTTTCGAACGTTATGTTCTCCACTGAGTTATGCGTGATCCTTGGTGATCCATGCCCACATGCTGCTTCAGGAGTTGCAGTCCATCGTGCAAACTCGCTGCTGGCAAGCGTTTGATGACAAGCTGTCCTCGCACAAATGGTGCGCGCCTTTCTGCCTCACAGTATGTATCAGATCTTGTTAGCATGCTCAAGCAAATCTCAGGATGAAGCCTCGTAGCTTTGACCATTAAATCCTTGATGTGATGCCAGCCTGCAGGATGAAGCTGCTCAGTCATCACAAGACGTACTGACCTTAAGACATTGTAGGATTTTTTCCGCAAGTGTACATCAGTGCATACACGGTGCATCACGGTGCTTAGAAGCCAAGGCACAAAGCGCTTGTCCAGACAGAGACGTATGAGAACAGGATGACCAGGCCTTGGTTTTGTTTTGTTTGTGATGAATTACGTACATGGCGGATTACTCATGCCTCCAGGGACCTTGTGCAGCAGGTTTACGGCTGCTAATGACCAGCGACTCAGTGCGCATTTCCGGACAGCCAGTTACTTAGCATCTCAGGCTAGCGGAAACCGGGCTTGGCTCGTGTGCTCCTCTGCCCAGGCTCTTGAGAGATGCGTGAGTTCGTACAAGACGAGGAAGACTCATCTAGCGATGCCGGTGCTGGATGCCGCGCTTACGTCATTTCCACAAACCCCACGTGCGAACTTCTTTGCCCCCCAACACTGCCTTTTTTCTGACTTAGTCTCCCCCTCTCTTACATCAGTATGTGCCATGGCCCAGAGGCCCTGCTTCGAACATTAACCTGAATTGCGAGCCCCACTGAGAAATGAGGGGGTCGTGCATCGGCCGCTTGAGGATCTTTTTGCAAAATGGTCAACATTTCAAGCAGTCAAAAGCAGCAAGGCACGCTCGGATAGGCTCACACTCAGCGTCACCATAGTTGCCGCCCTCTTTGCACTTCTGGACGAGCGGATGTCGTACGGCCAGGCCTCCGAGTCCGATCTCACAGCTGAGCACAGGCAGCGGCATACTGTCAACTCTATTGGAATTCCTATGTCGTGCCGGGTCATCTTCCATCAACAGAACACTCCTTTCAAGCTTACGTTTATAGCCATGGTCAAGGGCCCTGGCTGGGGCTCGACATAGGTATTGGAGATCCTAAGCAGCAAAGATCGGCCCTGCGTCTCGCTTTGCCCCTCTTTCTCTGTCCACCCCTCTCGTCTCTCTCTCTCTCTCTCTCTCTCTCTGTGTCTCTCAAGCAGATGACCAGTCAGGCAGCTCGCCGCCAGTGTTCGAGAGCTGCTTGACGAGCAGGGTGCGGAGCTCGGGCCATGCTTGAAAGATCCTGAAAGCGATTCCGCCAGCTGATGCTAGCCCTTGCTGACAATGTCTGACCATCCTGGGACAGCAAGCCTTTCGGTGTATCTTTCCAACGAAGCGCCTTGTTAAGCCTAGACTTTGAAAACGGGAAGCCCCGCGGGTCATATGAAGCAGCTGACCAAGTCTGGAAAGATCACAAAGTTTTCAGCCGCTTCGAGATTCCCAACCCCGCGTTGATCTGGGATGCAAGGTCGGGACCTTCAAGCCAGAGCCTTGAACGTCGTACATTGTCCAGCACTTTTCAGCATCTGCAGCATACAGAAGTTTTTCTTGATACGCAGGGGTTCTGGTGCTTCAGAATCATTGTGTTTGTTACTGTTAAGGTTCCACACACGGATCTACTGAGACACTTACAGTGCATCTACTGGATAAGAA